AACACAATACATCTTAAATTAGTTTCAGGGGGGAATAATGATATTATCACTGTTGGCAAAACCGGACGATCCAAGTGTTTCGTTAGATCGCTTGGCCGGTTCCGGTTTTGGTCATTTGGGCAATTTTGGCGATCGATTGGTATTTAAAAAAAAAAATCAAAAAAATATATATAAATTCTAAAAAATAAAGAATTTATTTTGTAATGTATTTTTTAATATTCTTTACATTATGGTAAAGATTAAAAATTGTTTTGGTCTCACTTTTTATATTTTCCCTTCTTTTGCAGAAAATTTTAAAAATTCTGCTAGGCACAATTCGATTTGTTCAAATCTATTTTTTCATTAATTTTCAATTTCATTTTAATGCGTTTTGTTTTAATCATTTTTTATATACTCTTCATATTTTAGTATATATATTTTTGTATCTTTTTTATTTTTTTCAACACTTTTTTGAAGGTTCAGGATTTACTCGGTTAGAATAGTTGAATTGGCCGGTTTACCGATTAGGTCTGTTAAACCGCTTCCGGGCCCATATCCAGTTAACCGTTCGGGTTCAATTTTGCTTTACGAATGCTGCCATGAACAGACATCAGCTATTTAGTAACTTCGTACGTATTTATAATTCAAATCTTTAGAATCTCTCAGTGGATTACGTAAAGGGTGCAGTTAGCGAGAGGCCGGTGCATTATGTAAAAATGTAGTTTTGGCTCTGGAAACCCACCCCTACATGGTTCGATAATTTATTTCCGATGATGGGCGATAATTTAGTTCCAATGATGGGTTAGTGTTGTAATACTTAAAAACAATGTTCACAAAATAGGGCGATCTAATTGCCTGGTTAGATCGGGGAACCTGCCATAGGCAGGTTCCGGTTTTGCATAGTTTTGTTGATCAATCGGTATATAAAAAAAATTTAAAAAAATGCATATAAATTTTTAAAAATAAAAAAATTGATTTTTAATATATTTTTTAATATTCTTTACATTATGGTAAAGATTAAAAATTGTTTTGGTCACTAATACTCACTTTTATATTTTCCTATCTTTTTCATAAAATTCTAAATCAATTTGTTAAAATCCATTTTTTTTTAGTAATTTTCAACTTCATTGGAATGCGTTAGTAGATTTTAATTTTCATCTTCATTTGAATGTATTTTAATCATTCTTTATATGCTTTTCATATTTTAGTATAGTATTTTTTGTATCTTTTTTTTTTACTTCTTTCGACGCTTTTTTGGCAGCTCGGGACTTGTCTGGTTAGTGCTGTTGAATTGGGCCGGTTTAATGGTTAGACCAGTTAAACCGCTTCCAAGCCTATTTCTTGTTAACCGTTCCGGTTCGATTTTGCGAACATGACTTGAAAATGAATGATCTCCATAATGTGCTATATTATTTTTAGAGCTTGAAATAGAAATGCATAAGAGTTTTTGGGGTTGAAACGATCGATTAGATGGTTCTTCTAATCCTAGTAACTATATTTTTTTAATAAGTTTTGGGGTAATAAGTTTTTTGAGGTACGACTTTACTTTTTAAGGTGAAGCCTAAGCCCTAAATAAATCTTTTCCTTGTGTAATTGTACTATATTAATTAAAAATATGGTATTCTTTCTCTCTTCTCCTCAACTCAATTGGAGAGGAACTAGTGTTCTCTCAATTCGTTTCTTCAAATTTTCAATTCGTTTTAATATTGTAAACAGTGTTGGAAAACCTGGAATGGCCTGGCAGATCTGTCACCGGAAAACTGATCCGCTTTGCCGATCTTCAAACACCATTACAAACACTGAATGCTAGTTTAGGGAACCGTTAAAAATGATCCAACTTTCCCATCTAAGAAAGCATGGTCAGTTTTATCGAGTCTCTTAGCCCATCTATCGAGTTCCTAGATTTTTCATCGATTTGGGAGGTGATTGTGTATTTGGCTCGATCCAACTCGGTTGCGATAGTTCATATGGATTCACCGGCAATTTTGATTTGTAGGGGTTCTAGAGCTACGGACATGGCCATTAGGTTTTATATTTCATTTTCAACAGATCTATAATTGTTATTATTTTAAATGTAAACAAAAATTATATACATGTATATTGAAAGTTTGAGGTCAGTGTTCTAGGTGACCACTATAGTCACCATCCAATTGCATATATTGAATCTGGGTTGATCTATCCAATGATCATGATTGTATTTTGTATTTGAATTTTAATACTTTTATAAATTAAATTCACTTGAAATTTTTAGTGTGTACTTTAGAAAAATTGGCGAATCTAATAAACATATTAAAAGAATAATTTATAAAAGATAGACCAAAATACCTCTGAAAATTACAGGGATATTTTGATCAATTTAGTTCTTGTGAATAATTTTTTAAATTTTTTTATTTAATTTGTCTTGATGAGAAGAGCGGACGATACAAATTTCAAATGATTTATATCTGTAGAAAAAAATTCAAATATGAAATACAGTTTAGATCGGCCCATATTCAATCTCAATCGTTGGGCTTATGCTATTTCATCAACTAGTGGGCTAACAAGAACTTTTCCCATATAAGGAATTCGCGCCTAAGGGGACACACTTCTATGATGGATGGTGTCCCTTGACGCGTTAAACATCCAACTTGTTAGTGGATGATAAAATTGATATTGTTAAAATATTATTAGAGAGAAAAAAATCTCATTTTTTATTTTTAGGGTTCCGTTTTTTCTTTATCCAAATTTCTACTTATCATATTTTCATTTCCTAAAATGTTAATTCCTAGGAATGGACTCAAGTATTGGTGGTTACGGTAAAAGATGTCAATTGTCAATATGACATCTTCAGTTCACCCTTCCCCCGGTGATATACCCAAAACATAAAAATAAAATTTTAAAATTCAAAATCCATCTCTAGGTTTTGGACAGAACTCATTTAAATAAGGATGCAGTTAGCATGCGGCAAGGCCGCACATGTAGAAATGCGGGCTTGGTAATAAATATGGTTTTTAAATATAATTTGATTCAAATTTATAATATTTAACATCATGAATATGAAAAAATGAATAAATTTTGAAAACTAAAAATGATAATTTACCATGTGATTAAAATCCAACTTTAAGTCATAAACATAAATATAGAGAGAGAAAGAGAGAGAGAAGAGGGACGGGGGGTTATATACCATATAAACTAAAGAAAATATCCTCATTTGCCATGTGTTAGAGACCTTAATAAAGAAAATCTAAATATAATAGGAAATTCTAGAACAGCTTTAACAAAACTTGAAATGCCAAACTTGTATCTCCAATGAACAAGTGGTGTTAAATATATATTTAGTAAACAAGTAGTGATTAAATCAATTTAGTTGTAACTTCATTTCACATGCCCTTGTCATTGTCAATTGTGGGACGGGAATTTTTAAGTGATAAAGAGCAAAAACATAAAAATTGCGTAGGAAGCTGCAACATCATAAGAAAGAAGAGAGAAGGTGCCCCTTCTTTCTATTTAACACCACTTGTTCATTATCTTTTCTTTGCTGTACCTTTCTCCCTTATTTCTTTTGATGTTACGCTTCCTAACCTCTTTTACTTTCTTTTTTTTTATTTTTTTACACATTGTATATACAAAGTCTACTCCTCTCAAGAAAAGAGCCTGAGTCTAATTGGTGAGGGCTTGATCTAACAACAACAGCGAGTCTACGTTATAGACTTTCAGTATTAAAACTACACATGAAAATAAAATTTAAGATTATCACAAAGATTTTCAGTATTGAAACTACATTTATTGATACTATTTAAAGGTGAGCTTTACTTTGATTGTTTAGAGCCCAGGCTCTATATAAATCGCACCCAATTCTGCTTGAGGTCTCCCATGGTGCAGTGCATCATTTGAGGTGGGATCTAAAGTTTCTACTTTTCTCAAGTCATGGGCTCAAGTCAATGTCATGTTCCCCATGGTACAATGTTTTATTTGAGGTGGGTTGTAAAGTTTGTACATTTTAAATGAAAGCCTGTAAAAAGCACTAAGGAGCTAGGTCAAGCTGCACATAAAAACACTGATTTTAACCCTGGGTTCAAAGGTCAGGCTAACCGAGCCCATGCTTTCAGACTAGATTTTATTTTTTTTAATTAAAGGCAATGGAAAAATTTTATATAGAGCCAAGGCTCTAAACAATCAAATTAGAGCCTGCCTCAAAATTTTCACTAAAAGAGGTTGTTTTCATGCCCAAATATAATCAAAGTGATCATCTCGACATCAAGATGCATGGACATGAGAAAAAAAATGGATTGCAAGTGTTGGAAACAATACATTTTGTAATGCATTTTTAACCGTCAATTTTTAAGATTTTCAAGTTTTCATAGATCTGCTCAATCTACACTATTTTGTTAGCTTTAAATTTTATATTCAAAGATGAATATATTTGAATGCTATCACAAAGATTTCCAATATTGAAACCATATTTCGGGACACTATTTGAAGATGGGCTTTACTTTGAGCCTCGGCTCTATACAAACCACACCCAAAGGCAATTGGCCTCCTTGTGTACCTGGGCTTTACTTTGATTGTTTAGAGCCTCGGCTCTATACAAACCACACCCAAAGGCAATTGGAGGTCCACACAATTCCTTTCATAAATGCGAAACCTTTTGCATTATAGCAGTGGAGGTCCGCACATTTTCCTTTCGCTTTTTACTTCATCTGAGCATTTGACGCAGTAAAACTTTTTATTTGGCATCTAAGTCCATATTATCGGCATCTAAGTCCATATTATCATGACACCAATGAATTGGACCTAAAAAAAGCCCTCTCAATTGAGCTCTTTCATGCTCATTTATCCATATTTTATTGTATTATATTCATTAGCACCCACCAATGTATAAGACTAATCATGCTTAGAGCTCAACTAGCTTACGGTACGTAACAAATAAAGTAAACACACAAGGATGGTGCTATTGGCGCCTATATTTTCACTATTCCAACATAGTTTATGGGTGGAAAAGTGAGAATGGAGGTCTTTTACGAATTCGACCCATGTTTTGAATGAGCATAGGATGATTAATAATGGAAATTGAATAATATTTTCACCGATGCACCCTACCACCCATCCCTCAAATGACAATTACAATGGCGTGTGGATTGAGGTTTAAAAAAAATTGATTTAACACCACTACTTCTTCCTCCTCCTCTTTTCTTTGCTGCACCTCCTCCCTTCTTTTCTATGCTGGTTCCAAACCACTACCTCTGATTCTTCATCTTTATCGCTCTTTATATGCAGAGATTAATCTATTGCATCATTAAATATCATTGTGATATCTTTTTTTGAGCAAGTTCTTGAACCAAAACTCTTACTCCCCTTGGTTTTATTGATCTTCTTGACTAAATCAAGGAGTGTTCCTACTGTTCACCCTGCTTTTTTTGATATTCTTTTCGGCTGAAACAGAGAGCTTTCCTTTTGTTCACCTTGGTTTTCTTGATCTTCTTCTCCACAAAAACACAGAGCTTTGCTTTGTTCACCTTGGTTTGGTTAATCTTCTTCACCAAAAGGACACTTTCCTTCTACTTGGTTTTCTCGACCAATTGGGCTTTTTACAAGGTGCTTTTGTTTAGTGTCCCAAGGCTTGTGGCTACCTGAACTATTTCATTGTGTTTGCCTCTCTTTTGCTACCATCAACCATGGAAATTGCTACCGGCGTGCTCCAAATTGTGAATATATTTTTGGAACCCATCACTCGACAGCTCGGATATCTCTTCAAATGCCGGGAGAAGGTTGAGGAACTGAGAAATGAGAACGAACTGACTTAAGGTCCAAATTCCTGATTTGGAGGCGAATATTGAAGCAACAGAAAGAAGTGGGAAGGCAGCCACAGGTGAAGCACAACAGTGGTTCAATAGGGCACGAGAATTGGAACATGAAGCAGATGAAGTAGTTGAAAGATACCACGACAACAAGTGTTGCTTTGGAGGACTCTGCCCAAATTGCCCCTCCAACTACAAGTCAGGTAGACAAGCAACAAAGAAACTATCCCAAATCACTACTCACATCAATCTAGCAAATACTGTGAATTGGAGCATGGATCGACCACCGCCAGTGGGGAGGGAGATGCCTACAGCTTCAATCACAGGCCAGTCAACATTTGATAAAAATGTAACTAAGATCCTTGAATGTTTGAGTAACAATGAATTGGGTGTGATTGGCATTCACGGTATGGGAGGCGTTGGAAAGACAACTGTCATGCTGGAAATCAACAATAGTCCATCACAAAATCAAGGATTTAAGAGAGTGATATGGATCACTGTGTCAACAGATGTAAATATAACTAGAATTCAAAAAGAAGTAATGAAAAAATTGGGAATGAATGTTGAAGATGAAGATATGATTGCAGAGAGATTGTTTTCTGCTTCGAAGGAGCAAAGATTCGTGCTTATATTAGATGACTTGTGGGAAAAGCTGGATTTGAATGCTATAGGAGTCCCTCGCCCAAACCCACAAAATAAATGTAAGATTATAATAACCACTCGATCATTAATAGTGTGCAATCGGATGGAAACTGACCTCAAAATTAAAGTGGATGTTTTATTAGAGGAGGAAGCATGGATCTTGTTTCGTGAAAAAGCAAGAAATGTGGTAGGTCTCCCTTCCATAGAGCCCATCGCTTGTAAGGTCCTCAAAGAATGTGGTGGCCTACCACTCGCCATCATCGTAGTCGGTTGTGCGATGAGAGACAAGGATAATGTGCATGTGTGGGAGAATGCACTGAGAGCTTTACGGGAAGCAACAATGGAGATTGAGGGCATGGAACGTGAAGTGTTTGTGCCATTGAAGTATAGTTACGACGAATTACAAGATGAAAACATTAGGCAATGTTTTTTGTATTGCTCCCTATTTCCAGAGGACTGCGAAATTGAAAAGGATAATTTGGCTGAGCGTTGGATGTGTGAGGGGCTCTTAGGCAGAGTGGATAGTGTGGAGGATGCTAGAAACAAAGGCCACGGTCTAATTGAAAAGCTGATTGACTCATGCATGATAGAGCAAGTTCGTAGAACGGATTATTTTGTGAAGCTTCATGATGTGATCCGAGATGTTGCCATACGTATCGGCTCCACAAGAGAGGGTGGGGGTTTTATTGTTGAAGCAGGATTGGGACTGAAAGAAGCACTCAGGGTTGAAGAATGGGGAGAGGCCCAACGTATATCGTTGATGAGTAATGGACTAGAGAGACTTCCAAATCGGCCAGTGTGTCCGGTTCTCACGACATTGATGCTCAGAAAAAATAGAAATTTGAATAACATTCCGGAGGGTTTCTAGAAGCCCTAAAGGTGCTTGATCTTCATGGAACTGGCATCAAATGTTCTCAATTGGATTTTGTTGGCCTTGATGTTGTTCCCAGCTTGAAGAGCTTGGAATTTTTGTGCCTCTCGAATTTGCGAGTTGTGAGGAGAATTTGGAAGGGAGATGGAGACCATCATCTTCTCAATCTCAGATTTTTGCTTATTGAAGATTGTGATGTATTGAAGAATGTGTTATTGGCAAATGTGGTACAATGTCTTCCATGCTTAGAAGAAATGGCGATAATGAGGTGCAGAGGATTAGAAGAGATAATTAGTGGGGGGCAGGTAGGCCAAAACATCACCCTCCCCGAATTAAAAAAATTGCAATTAAATGGTTTGGTGAAATTGAAGAGTATATGTGAGAATGCGCCTTCATTGGAGAGAATATCTGTGAGAGGGTATCCCAAGTTGAGAAGGCTCCCTCAAGGTCTCCGAGAAGCAGAAATGCTAAGACTAATTGAAGGAGAAAAAGAATGGTGGGAGGGATTGGAATGGGAAGATGAGCGTACCAACTCTACTCTCCTCCCTCTCTTTGTCGAAATAAAAAGTTGACAGGGATAGCAAAGTGGGAGTGGTTACAATTACATTCACCCGTGAGGTAGGTAAACCTCCAAGCCTATAACTGGAAATCTCTCTCTCTCTCTCTCTCTCTCTCTCTTCTTGAGCCCACCTTCATGCCTATTGTCTCTCTCTCTCTCATAAAAATAAATGGTGAAAGCCAGTGTATGAAACATCGTATTAGTGGGGCAGATGGCCACCCATTGATCTCGTATTGAATCGTCGGATCGCCAATCAAGATTGGTTTGGACTCAGCATCTCAGATCTGGATGCTTGGACCTGATCTGGGTCTAGATCCGGCATGGACCCTATAGGGTTCGGTCGGACCAGGTTGAGTCGACCTGGTATGAAATATTATAAATCATATATAAAACATACATTTTTTCACTAGATTTTATTTATTATCATTTTTACTAGAATAAAACATATATATTACATAGTATATAACTTAATGTTTTTAAATTTTTAGACCCTGGTCTGGGTCCAAGTAAGCCCAGGTAGGTAGGTTCCAGAACTGGGTCGGGGTCCAATCGACACAAAACCCCTATAAATTATAAATATAAGTCATAGCTCAAGAAACCACCCAAACAGGTTGTGTTTAAGGTTTGAAGTTTTTCCAAGTGATCATCTCGACCTCAATATATAGAACTATGGGTAAAAGATTTAAAGTCATAAAATAATGTATTCTATAACAAATTATCTGGACCTGTCTATTTCCAAAATGGTTAGTCTGTTCAATTCTTGGAACTTTATCCTTCGTAGTTACAGGTTAGCATGCCAAAACTAGGTCTACATAAATCGATGTATTGCATATTATAATTTGATGGAGCTTGATGAACCTATTTTTTTGAATAAGGCATAATGAACCTATTGCATTTTGAATATTTATAATCACATACTTATGTTAAATAGACGTGACTTGTTTAATTTTGTTTACATAGGAATATGTTTTTTTCTTTTGTATTCATTGTATAACAAATGTAGGATCACATTCGAGAGTTATTTTTGATGCGATGAAGTGACATTATATTAATACACGTATAATAATCACAAAAACTCACTCGGAGTGAGTGAGTAAGGGCAGGCCACAGGTTCGGGTGGTTGTACATAAAACACTCTCTCTATCTTATGTGACATCTCCCTCAACCAGTCTTCGGGTGAGTCCTAATCTTCATGCTAACAAAGAAGTCCATAAACATATCCCTATGTGTTTATTTCTCTCCATTACTATAAGAGAGATTAATCTTATATCTCTATCTCAACCCTCCTCTTTTTTTTTTTGAAGGTTTTGGGCTCTTTCCTTGGTATATTAGCCTTTTAGTTTCCCTGTTCGTATATTGCTTGGGTGGAGGGAAAGTTATCGCCAAATATCTATTCTATTATGAAATCCGTTTACCTATATGTTTTTTATTTGCCTTCTCAATTTTTCGAAAGAGCCGTTAAATCAAGTTCTCTTTTATGTTTCGGCTTATATTCTCACTAATGTAATTTCCATTACAGATGGATTATTTGACGATATATTCAATGCTGGAAACCGTGTAAAGAGAAAGGAGAGGGTATGACTAGGGTAGAGAGAAATAGGGCAAAAAGGTCAAAAGAAAGAAAAAGAAATTTTAACTTAGAAATGTGCTGACGTTTTCCTCTATTCAAAGGGCATGTTTGTTTTTCTGAAAGATATCTTTTAGAAAGTTTAATGTTTTTAATGTTATGAAAAGTTAAATGCTTTGTTCCATAATATTTGAATAAGTTCTAAGTACTGTGTTGATAACTTTCTGGATATTAAGAAAGTGCTGGGTACTGTGTTTGAGAAATATATATATATATATATATATTAACCATATAAATGTAAATATATAACATATATAAAATAATATAATATATAATATAATGTATATTATATATTTGATAAATAATAAATATTATCTATATAATATAATATAATATATTTATATAATATATAATAATATAAATATTATATATATTAATATAATACATATATTTGATATATTTAAATTCATTTAATATATTTAGTACTATATATTATATATAATATATATTTAATATAATATATAATACATATAATATATAATCAATATATACTATATAATATACATTATATTAATAAAATAAATATAAATATATAACATAATATTATATACTATATAATATAAATTATATTAATAAAATAAATATAAATATAGAACATAATATTATAAATTATAATATTATACTATATAATATTATGTTATAGTAATATTATATTTTATTACATCATATTAATAATACTAATAAGTATTTATATTATGTATAGTGAATAGTGATTAAATTTTTTTTTTTTATGAAAGATTAAGTTCTAAGGTCCCTGTAGGAACTTAATCTTTCATTTTTGAACAAAGAAATGGGAACTTTTGTTGAAAAATTAATTTCTGAATTTTTCATGAAAAGTATGAAACAAATATAGAACTTTTTCAAAATCTGAAAAAATAGTTTTAGAAAAACAAACACGTCGTCCTAAGAGAGTCCTCTCCACAGCTTTTGCCCATTGAATCCCTTTTTCCAGGTATAGTAGTAGTGCTTGCAAAAGAGATCAACTGTGCCTGGTTTGCCATTCCCATTCCACTTATACTAGCATAACTATTGTTCAACTAATCGGACGAGTCCACTTGAATTTGCTGGTGTATCTTGGGTCGCTACCCTTGCAAGCTCGAGTATTCTTGAGATGAGTGTCCAACTCGGGCATCTTAAAAAAATTATAGAAATTTTTTAAAATAAGAAATCTATTTGTAATATTTTTTATGCGTGATATTATTTCGACAAAGATTGGATAGTGCTTAGGCCATGAATACTTATTTTTGCTTATTCTTATATTTTTTGGATTATTTTGAAAATTGGTGCTGTTTGTATAGAGCCTAGTCTCTAAACAATCAAATTAAAGCCTACCTTCAAATAGTGTTGAGAAATATAATTTCACTATTGGAAATCTTTGTGATGGCCTTAAAATATATTTTCATATTTATTTATAAAGTTTAAGCTTCAAAAAGTACTGTAGATTGACAGATCTATGAAAACTTAAAAATCTTGAAAATTGACAGTCCAAAAATGCATTACAATATACACGATTTCTAAAACTTGCAATCCATTTTTTTCTCATGTCCATGCATCTTGATGTCAAGACGATCACTTTGAAGATATTTGGGCATCAAAACAACCACTGCTAGTGAAATTTTTGAGGTAGGCTCAAATTTGAATTTTTAGAGTCTTGGCTCTATATAAACTTTTCCCTTTGAAAATACCCCTGGTCACAAATTAAAATTTCAAAATTTATTATTTTATGATTTTTTTAGCCTCATTTAGATGTGTTTTGTTTAATATCACTTTGAACATATATTTCCCAATTTTTTGAAATGGCTTGAAAATACACATACACACGTATATATATGTGTGTGTACGAAAGTATAAAATGAGACTATTTACCTTTGGTAAGAGGTGGTCACATTAATCTTGGCCAATGTATGTGAAATTGGGTGGCTGCAATTATTCCATTAACCAAGCTCAAACTTCAAAATAAATTTTTTTGAACTTTGTGACACATCGAAGCTATCAAATTTCACATATGATGATTGTAAGTAATTGTGACAACTTTGTATCAAAAGTAAATGGTCTCATTATATATATATATATAAAACTTCAAAACAGGAAGTCCGAACTAATATGGAGGTGCCTCATAATTCTAGAGGCATTTCCCAACGCTAGCCTTGTGCCCTGCATGCCACATGTTGTGCCACGACTCAATTGCTGATTTAAAGCTTGACACTTTTTATCACAACGTCGATCTGAGCCTAATAATGGTGGTCTGATCGAATTTGGAGATCTCTGAAGGGTAGCAATGCTGCTTGTTCCTTTTTAGAAACCGCCAAATCATAAAATTTGGTTTCCTAACTGAGGATTCTGTAACTGTTAACTTCCCTACATAGGATTTCAGGATCCTTGGGCTTCTAAAATGGGATATTTAGGATTTAAAGAATTTTAGGGAATTTTTATGAGTATTTGGATTTCCTAAATTTGTTCTTTATGGGATTTTTAATTCCCTAAGAGGATATTTAGGGAATTCAGAACATCCTTGGAATATTTAAAAGAATTCTCCCTAAATTGAATGATTTTCAGTCTGGAAAACATGTTGATAGGGCTAGACCAATAATTCTAGCTACTTCCTTGATCGTCAAAGTTGCCTCACCGAAAGGAAAGAAAAAAGAATTTGACTGATAATTAAACCTTTATGATAAGGCATCACGTTAAATCAAAATTAATGTAACGGAAAAGGTGTTAAGATCACGACATTGATACCCTTGCACTCTAAAAAGCTCTCTCCTCAAAATACCATTAGAAATATGAGATTGAGGGAAATGCCGTCCCTGTTGAAAAGGGACGGTAGATTCCTCCTCCTCTTGATTAGAGCCTCTTGGGAGCCATAAAACCAGAGGAAGGAAAAGGCTTGCTCGAATTGAAAAGGAAAAATGAAAAGTTATAAAGGAGAAAGAAGAGCACGAGAGAGAAGACTGTGGAGAGATTAAAAACAAATCAAAAGCTTGATGTGAATGAAATTCTTTCAAAACGGGCGAGTACTTGCATATCTCTAAATAAGTCCAAGTTCGGGTGGAATTAGGAGTCCAAAAAGGTCAAACTTGCTTGATTTTGGAATCCCGGCCATGCCTGACATGCGGCGTGTCATGCGTGGGCCGGGTAGGGCCTGAAGCCAAGCATGACCCACCGCGTGTTGCGCTAGTGAGTGGCAATGGCTCACGCAGGAGAGGAGAAAAAAAAACGAGTGAAATGAAAAAAATGAAGTAGGAAAAGTGTTATGAAAAAACAGAAGGAAAAAATTTGTTTAAGGATGCACCTTATAATGTAGAACAACGGATGCCCCTCAAAAATCCATCAGAAAAGATAGTTTTAACATTGAAAAACTCTTTGATTGATCTACACCGTCCATTTTCAATTATTTTCATACGTTTATAGATCTACTTGATTTTAACCATTTTTTAAATTTAAAAGTTTATAATGAGATATAAAAATAGATTTTGAAATAATCCTAAGAATATTTTACATCAAAATTATACACCATGATAAAATTTGAAGTGCAACTTACCTCTACACCTATGGATGCATCTGCATGCAAACTGCACCCAAAACAAAATGGAAAAGATCAAGTCCCAAATGTGTACGAGATGGTCAGGGAAAACTCCCCATAGAAAGTCTCTTCGACCATACCTTGTGCATTCCAAAAAAAAGAAAAAAAAAAGAAAGAAAATTTAAAAATTTGAAAGAAGTTTCATGGTGGCACGAGCTGAAATTGCCCACCAAAATCTCGAAATCAGATAAGAAAAATGTCCAACTCGTGCGACGTAAAACAACCGGGAACTAATCATCAACGTCAAACTTGTAGGGCATAAAAGAGTCGAGATAGGTAGATATCTAATATGTATGACAAAAACAGAATCGGGAACCCAATCTCAATTCAACCTCAAAGCCATGCAACATAAAAGAACTAAGGCTGGTACAAAGATCTGTCCATCATTGTATGACGTAAAACTGCTTAAAGTGCTCTACGGTTGCATGAGCTTAAAATCAAATCATAATTGTTTTTTGAAAATTATTCTCCCTCTTTTCAAGAATTTCCGCTATGTCTTAGTGAGTTTTCAAACTTTTAATTTCTTTGATAGAAATTGTAGCCCAAAACCTTATTAAGTTTCAAATTTTTGTCCCTATTTTTTAATATCTTTCTAGTAGTGTTTTAACAAATGAAGGAGTCTTAAAAGAGCTTGGACATGACGTTTCTCCTATCATCAAATCCTGAATGCTATGTTTAAAGCTAACACCTTTAGAAATCCCATTTTATGAAAAAAATCCCATAGGTTTCCAAAATCCTTAGCCCGAGGCCTCCAGAATTTAGAATCAAAAGATGAAAAATAAATTCGTTTAGCTAAACTTTTATGACCATCATTTATCTCTTAATTCAAAAATCTCATTCAATTGTAAATCAAGCCCAAAAAGAAAAGGTCTAAAGCTAAAGATGACTCAACTGACGTCCTAAGTAGCATTGTGGTGATCAGCAAGGAAAAATAACTGGCTCAAAGTTAGCACAGATCTTGTTCACGGTCACTTTGTATGATCTCTCAATACAATTGCCTCAAAATAGAGCAGTTTCAGTTTGATGTTTTACGGATAAAAAATCCATCGGTGTACCGCCTTCCTAGAGGGTACTTGTCACTGAAAAGAGTGAACCCTCAGTTTCTTTATATTGTGCTTCAGGTGTTTACTTCTTTGTTATTCATACAGTACCCTAGGTGAATGCCAAAG